TGTTTTGCGTTTATCAATTCCACATTCTTAACATGCCAAACTTTCTATCGTAAAATTGACGATATAAAAATAAGAAAATAAGTAATGTTTCCAAAATAACACGAGAAAAAATATCTGTTTTGCGTTAATTAAAAATAAAAGGTGACGAAATATTCGTCATCGTCGTTATCATTTTGTCTAACTAGACGATAATAAGTTTTCCCCTAGGTTGTCTAATTAATAATTAGTATGTTACGTTTTCGGTTTCCCTTTTTCTCCTCAGCATATAATAGAAAGACAGAAAGAGTTAGATTGGTAGGAGGGATAGTAAAGGGGTGAGAAATAGGGGTAAGTAGATGACAATGAATCGACAGTTCGTGAGCCCCAACCGAGAATTTAATGTCGCCCAACGACTAATGAGTTAGCCTGTTCATAATTATGAATGAACGTGGGCTTGGTTTGGGTGTCTAGTTACCACCGTGATACATAGGTATTTATCTACGTGCCGATGATTAATTAACGCTAACGACGTTAACGATCATCATCGGCTACTATCGGTGATGGTGTTGGTGATGGTGATGGTGATGGTGGGTTCTCGATTCCATCAAAACTAACGCAAGGGATTTGAACGAGGTTTCAACGTTGCCCATATCATTCAACTGATTCTCTCTAGCATCATTCATTCATTCATTCATTCATTCATCCGTCACTTAACGTTCATCACTCTATATTCCTAATTTGACGTCTCGAAACCGATTATATATCTATCTCTCTCACTCTCTCTGATGCCATTTTCGAATATAATTGAGTACTTTAAGCGAACGTACTTCAACACGTCGTCAGCCACTTTACCGCGCGAAATGCGAACCGTCGTTAGCCCTTCCGAACGATAGGGTCCCTACCTACCTTCGATCGTGTCATCGATGTGTCAGTATTGGGAAATTAATTTACCACCCTTCGATATGAGCCCGTTGAAAATTTCCCGAAATATTTTCCCGGATACGAAAATAACCCGTTTCATGGATTGAATATATTTTTTTTTTAGTCTCGAGTGTTTTTCTATAGGATTTTGTTGTTGTTTTTGTTGTTGTTGGATAATTTGTGTTTCTTTGTTAAAAGAAAATTATATTTTATTGGTAAAAAATTGTTGGTTAAACGAAAGTGTGTCGTGAGTTTGGTGATTGACGAACAAACGTGGATGCTGGATGTATCTTTTAAGTTTTAGATGAACGTGCTTTTAAGCGTTTAGAAAAAAAGCTTTCCACGTAGTTCGGGATAAAAGTAAAATATAAGAAAAAGAATAAGAAGAATAACCAGAGCTTCGGAAGAGATCGTGCGCTACTTCCGCGAGAGTTTACCAAGGAAGGACGAACTTTACGTTCGTAGAAACTTTACTATTCGTGGAAAACTTCTCTGGTATCGTCGTAGAACGAGCGACGATGGAACGTAGTCGAGTGAGTAAGATAAGAAAGGAAGAGAAAGTACGAAGGAAGGAAGGAAGGAAGGAAGGAAAGGTGATAAGAAAGTAACAACAATGAAAAAAAGAATTATAACAAAAATATAAAAAACAAAGAAACAATTGATTTCAAATGAACATGTAAAAAACACGAGACTATTCTTTTCCCCATTTTAAGTTTTTTCTATTTAAACACTCCTTATTCTCTTTGTAATCCTTTCAAACTTTCCCTAATATATCTGTATATTAATTATTATTTTTACTTAAACAAACAAAAAATAAATATATATATATTTATTTTC